TTTCGACAAATGCGATCGTAGCTTTGTGTCACGCACCGCCATAACTCTGAAATTCAAAATACGCTGGTTTCCAAGCAAACCACACTATTGAGCTGTAACATTGTAAACAAATATAAATTTACCCCCTTCTTATGCCTGATGGGGATAGAAACTTCAATGGCTCTTTAGTTTTCGATTTTAGAAAATGATGACGTCACGTGGAAACGATCTATTAGTGATAAATTCAGTATTGTCTCATCTCACTCTAGCCCGCGCTGGTCCCTCAGTCAGACTCCATGTGATTTACAAAGAAAGCAACAGGTTTCACAACGGAAAATGGTAAAACGAAGTTTATATTCACTTTTTTGTTGTCGTTTCGTTTTACGGTTGGCTTTTTCATAAATTGAAAAGCCACAAAACAGAAGTTGTCTTTCGGTCTTTACTTTTTCGTGTTATTTCGCACATAAAACGAAAAACGATGAAACGAAAGTTAACCGTCCCCTATCATCCTTATTAAGGTATCAAAGCGGAGACCGCAATTAATCTGGGGATCTTTGTGTTTCGTTTTATTGCTTTAGTTTGTCCTTAGCACACGCACACACACACACACGCGCGCGCGCGCGCGCGCACACACACACAAAATTAAAAAAAAAAATCTAAAGGTTCTATTTCATTTTCGGTGTAAGGGAATATTTAACAATGAAACACTCGAGAAAAAAAAAAGGGCGATTTGACCTTTTCAGCGCTAGAAAAGGAAAAGTAAACAAAAATATCGAGTGGACGAACCGTGCAACAAAAGTTCTTTGCGTCCATCTAAGGAAAGAAAAATTCTCCAGGTATTCTTAAACAGCGACGAGTTTTTAACCTCGACCCCAGTATTTTCCTCTTCGGTGCCTCTTAAAGGGTTCTAGTCAGCCTCCGCCATTTTCAATGCCATCAAAATAAGATGTTTTGCACGGCAGCCATGTTGCATGGCAGGAACAAGGAAAATGTTTTGCATTAGAAAGGACATTTTTTCCCATAGGAAAAAGAATCTCTTGTTCCTGCCATACAACATGGCCGCCGCGCAAAACCACTATTGCATGGCAAAGAGAAATCTTATTGTTTCACTGTAAGTTGTGTACCTGAAGTATGTTTAATTACAATCCATCAAATATCTTCGCTCGCCCGCAATTAGTCTAAACGCGTCATGTGACCTAATATTACCCAGCTAAAACTGAGAAATATCCGAGGATATTCCGCAATTTTCAAAACTGCGCGCGTTGCCAAGAACTATTTAAAGGATAATAAACACTATAGCCTTCCTTTGGTGCAAAAGTATGTTCGGATATTTTATCCTTGGACATTATCTGCACCTCAAAGTTCACAGCTTCCCCAGAGCTACGCTTTCGGAAAACTATTCGTTTCTTGGAACAGATAATGTCAGCGGACAAACATCCGAGCATATTTTTGCGCCAAATCGAGGCTATTGTTTACTTAAGCAATAGACCACTCTTTCTATGGGTATACTGGCGCAATAAACCACGCGGGATAAATTCCCAGTGATTTCCTTCGCTTCGACATGTTCCCAGTAAATTAGCCAAACTATCGCAGGTAAACAAAGACAAAGTCTGGCTGACTAGGGCCCTTCTCCGTTGGCTTAATCAAAGAAACTATAACTCAGAAAGCAAACAAGAAAGTTTCCATTTTAGTGCAACAGTCGCAGTTACGTAACGCGTTGTCCTATAAATATCAAACGAACAAAAACCAGCATTTCATTGGTGCCGATCAAACACAATTATTCTGTACTCTTCAAAGCGACCAAAAATTATTGCACACATCAAGTGGTAATTTTTAAAAAGATAAGTTATCACAAAATACAAAGACGAATCTTCGTGTGCTCTCTTTAAGTGCTGTCTTGTTTAACAATCCTTGAATGTAAGAACAATTCTCTACGAATTCAGTTATGTCATCGTTTGCATGATAATCCTAATTTGCGACATTTTCTCGGAAAAATCACAACTTTCGTTAATTATTTATACTGTTCTAGAGAAGCCAATCATTACAGAAAACCGCGATAATAAAAAAAGTGGCGTTAAGGAGGCCGCAGGCTAACCAAATAATCCAGTATGGGTATTCACACAACTTATCAATGCAACTTACCAGCACCGGCGTTACCGCAATACCTAGAGTTGTTGTTAGGCGGGTTCTTTAACTCGTACACGTAATATCCACTACAGTTCTTCACTTTAATGTTGTTACTCCAACCACAGCAGCTCCTTTTCCAGTTACCTGCATAACAGACTTTACGTGTCACCACACCTGCGTCGACTGTTGGGTGCGTACCATTAAGCCAACCTGGAAGTTTAGTACCGCAGCGCCATCTTACAACACATTTGTCCGGCATGCGATCACCAGCAGCTCCTTGGAAACGGTACCAACCAGTTGTCAGGTCGATATCGCTTCTTAAATGCGGTGACAATGCGTTTCCTTGGGCGCGGTCTGTTTCATTCAGAACTTTGTAATTTGCACAGCCATCCACTGTTAGTTATGATCAAAACAAAATCAAACTTTCTTATTGTTTGGCACAGCTTTTTCTTTGTTGAAACCCGTTGCGTTGTTAACAACTTTACCCTGAAATACTTCGCTGCTACCTTTATCATGAATTATGACGAATTTCGAAAAGTGTCGTGAAGCAAAGTTTCATTTTTTGAAATCTGTGCTGTCTTTTGTCATAATGCAAACGTAGTTGCCTCTACTTTTTTGACTTAAGAAAACAATCATCCAGCTCTTTCCAATATAGGAAGTAAAAATGCAATAAATATAAAAAATATATATACATAAAAAAAAAAAACGATTCTTATTTTTCCCTTTGCCTCTTCCTTTTCGATCAATCTTGCATCAATTGCGTCGGATTTTTCACTCTATACTGTGTCTTGATACATCGTCCTTTCTTCGCAAGTAGCACTGAAGAAGTGGAACTCAAAGAAACAGAACTTTATTCTTAACAGAGTAGTGCATTTTTCTCGGCGCTACTGCTATATACTTTTCTAGATATTATAGTTACCTGCAGATGATTTGGTACCGGTGCTTCGCAATAGCAAGTTGGTAGATGCTGAAATATTTCATAAAGGTTAGATTACATGAATTACAATAAGGTTGCTTACAACTAAGTGTTATCATCTTTATTTCTAACACCTCTGCTCATTATGAGAAATTTAACAATAAAATAGATGTTGACCGTGTACGATTGAGAAAGGTCGATCTTTTTGCTGCTAGACTAAAGTCTTCGCAGTCGACGGTTTTAACGGCGACCAGTTTGCCGACTCTTCATTTCCCATTTGGCAAAAAAATTATTGCGCGGGAAATACTCGTTCTCCAAAGAGGAGAAATATATTTCTTCAATAACATCAATACAGATGATGTGAAGTATATATATGAAATAATTCATATTTGAACTGCGGTTGTAGATGAAGGTAAAGAATGATCATCGCAGTAAATTTTCCAATTTAAGCAACTGGAAAGAAGAAGCCTGAAAAAAACAAAAAAAACAAAAAACAACAGGGCTTCAATGGGATTCGAACCCGTGACCTCCGCGATATACCGGTGCGATGCTCGACCAACTGAGCTAGAAGCCACGCATTGGGAGCGAGGTCAATTAATTGAGTTCATATCTTCCCATGAGGAGTGAAATGATGTGA